CCTCTGCTCATACTTTGATAATTTAATTCTCCATTAACAAAATGGGAGAAGCAGTTGATACATTCTTGCTCTTCATAACATCATTCTTTTTGCCTTTTATCACATTTGTTTTCCTTGTACAAAAGAAAGAAGATGATTAAAACTACAAAAAATGTTTTGCTTGAATGACACTTTTCTCAGGGACCTTTAGCAATTTGAGGATGTGATGGAGAATTTTTGACGTGTTTTTTTTCCTGTCTCATATGGACTGCTTACTATTGGCTTATTAGCCAATGTGATTGATTGTAAATGGCAAGTAATTAATCATCGTCTTACTTGAATGAAGACTAAATTTGGAAGTGGGCAGTAAATGAAAGAGTGAATAGTAAAGTAAGCATTCTTAGCAACGTTTTCTGTTGCTTTCTTAAACCAGGGTTTTAAGGTACTGAATTACTGAGGAAAAACCCTGGAGCAGGACTTAAGGTTCAGCTGAGGGTCGGGAAACATCTGTTTTCTGTGGGATACTGTGCATTAAAAGAAGAATCTCTAAAATGGGAAATCTGAGGTCTGTTCCCAATTTAAATCATGTGAAGTAAAATGAAGGGTGAGTTGCGCTTACTGTGGATGTTACAGATGTTAACTGTTCATCTTTTATTTCTAGTGACTTCATTGCAGCTGAAGGAGGAGATGCTGGATGGGGAGGAGTACAGCTTCCTGCAAGGAGCGTCTGATCAGGAGAGCAACGGATCTGCCAGCTACTACATAAAGCAAGAACCATAAGGCAGCTCGAAAGTGAGGGGCATGGGATTGGTGATAGGAAAGGAGCCTTTCTCCAAGACTGACTGGTTTTGTTCCCACTTTGATGGTGCAGCATGGATGGCTGCGCCGGGGGCACTTTGCTATCTGTAGATGAGTTAGACTCGGTTCAGAATTTTTTGGAAGGACGGGGAAACTATTTTAGTGAAAAAAGATTTTTTCAATTTATTAAAAACGAGAATGGACACTTTTTGTGTTGTATTTGAAGCTTTTGCAAGAATTTTGTAATATTTTCAAGTTCAGATCTATTGTGCATTGTTAACAAGAACTGAAAATCTAATTTTTTTGTAAGATTAAAGTTTAAATAGCACGATCGTGGGACGCGGTTGGAGGAAGATATAGTTGCAAATACAAATGAACTGTCATGACAAATGAACCTTTTTGGTACAAATTGGGAGATACTTAAACTCTTGTGAACTGCACTGGTCACAACTCTGTTTTTTTTTTTTTAATTGTGAAATAAGGCATTTGAGCCCTGATCTGGAGGCACAGATGGTATGAGGAGCATCGCCCTGTAGAGCTCTGCTTGGTGAGTAGCCCCAGTTGCAATGGAGCCATCACCTGGGGGAGATTTTTTAACTTTTCAACGTGTTTTTATTTAGTTTGAAATGCGTTTTTTTATATGATACTTTTTTTAATTAAAATATATAGTTCCTTAGGGTCTGAATCAGTGCCCAGTAATATCAGTAGCCTTGTGTTCATTGGCCGCAGTGGGCACTGGATTGGGACTGCAGCTCTCTTGTCTCTACATGGATATCTGTTGTCTTGGAACGCTCCAGCAAATGTTTACAGAGCCCCATCTCTGCCAAACTGGAACTTCAGAAAATTCCCTGCTTTGGAACATTAGAGATAACGATGGATTTAGGCTAAAGAAACCTAGACAGCAACTCAGCCTCCTTTGGTGGTGGAAGGAACTTCTCTGTATTCTTCTGATCGTATCTTTCCATTCAGAAAGACTTTATTTCCTTACCATCTGAAATGTTTGTTTCTGAACATTCAGAACTGATGTTCCGTGTGGTTTCAGTTGACCTAAAAGGAGCCAGATGTTCAGCTCTGCACAGCCTGCAGTGTTCCTTTCTTGCTGCAGTATTGTGAGGTGGAAACTGAGATTTGAGAACGTTATCTGGATGGTATACAGCATGGCACGTAACTCACCAGCTGGATGTGTTTGTTGCCTCAATCCTTGCGTCTTGCTTCAGATATCCCATTAATCCCACCTGCTTGTCTGTCCAGATGTTTTAAAGGCAAAAGTTAAGCAGAAGGATGAAAATGACTGACTAGTAGTGTAATACAAAGTATTTTCACGTGAGCCCTTAATTATTTGGATTTTCCTTCCTTGGTTTTAAACTTTGTATGTTTTTGTAGATAGCTTCATTGATGGAGTTGATGAGTAAAATTATCACCCTGCAGAGCTGTGACTGGAAAAATGTGCATCAAGAGCTTTAGCTTTTACCAGTAAGGTTCATTAACTAAACTCTCAGGAATTAACTGCATATGTTCTATAAGTGCTTCTGGGTCTTAGTAGGTCCCCTTCAGAGCAGTACAGTGATTATTTGACTCTTAACCATAAGGTAGGGCTTAGAAAATCGGTGAACAAAACAGTTAACTTCTGTGTTCCTGCAGCCTAAGAAATGCTTTAAGGACATCAACCCACAGAGCCCCAGGAGACCATTTTTGTATATTTAGATTGTTCAAACCTAAAAACAGAAAAAAGTGCATAGAAAGTTGAAAACCAGCAAATTGATTCTTTTCTAAAATATTGCTCTAACTTTGGGTACATAGTATTGGTAATATGCACAGGTTTACCTCATTCTATGCAAGAGGGGTTAATTATGTAAAGTTTTGTATTTACTACTGGAATTTAAAAAAAAGCTGTCCTGTATAGCATAGGAATGTCTGGAATTTTCCCTTACCAGTAAAAATGTCTGTAATGACCCCTTTTTAACAACAGCTTCGTACTCTGACAGCATCTGGTTACTGGATTATAGGTATCTGTAACTTCAGGTGGTGAAGACACTTCAGCTCTCTGCAATAGCCATAGCAAAGGGACTTTCTCTTGTTTGGTAGGCTTCAGATCCGTCCTCTCAGAGCCTGACCCTCATGGGGCATTTCTTTTGAACACCCTGAGTTGGAGGAGTAGGTTTAGAGACCATTGTTAATGACATTTTGAACCTTGATTTTATTATTTTTCCCTATGCTCTTCATTTATGCTGCCATAAAATCCAGTTCTGCAAGCATTGATTTGATTTGGTAAGTACATCACTGTTGATTTTATTCATGTTTTTTGATGCGGCAACTTCCAAATTGCCACTGGCAGCTGGAATGAGTTGAGCACATTCTTGCTTTCTTCTCTCATCCGTTGCTTCTCGATACAGTAGAAAAACATGCATTAATTTGTTTCTTGATGTGAAAATTTGGGCTACGGTGGCAAGGGATGTTGCCAAGCCAGGAAACCTTGGGCTCCCATGCATTGCCCAGGTCAGAGCTTGGCTTCCCAGGCACGGCCGACCTGTGAGCTTAGCCTGCTGAGAGGCAAAGATGGCACTTTGAATGCATCTCCTGTGCTGGAGAAACGTAGGAATCAGATTGGAAGTCTGTCAGTCTTTCAAGTGTTCTTTAGAAACAAGTTTCCTTTGATCAAACACTACGTGTGTGAGCTGCCCTGCATTCTGATGTGCACGGGACTCTGCTGGAGTTGTGCGTTGAGACAGGAGTGACGTTTGTGTCGTGCTCACAAGATAGCGGCGTTGTGTGTCAGGTGTGGTGGAATCTGTCCTAAGCAAAGCGCGGCAGGGATTCGGGTCGTTTCCTTGAGGTTTCTGGAAACCTGAGCGAATCCCACGTGGTGTTTAGAGGATGTCTCTTCAGCTGTGGGTTACGGGTCCCTGCTGGTACCCATGGCGTAGGCTTTGCTGTGCATGGGAAGCATCCGTCAGCAGAATGCTTCTGGTGTCCTCAGCTTTGCTCTGGGCAGAAAGCAGAGCAGTGTCCGATGCGGAGCTTTCAGTGGGGTCAGACTGTCAGCACTTGGCAAAGCAGGATGCCGTGCCTGTCTGCAGCTCCCCTCTATTGCTGGAACCCTCCTGGTGGTCTTTGAGTTCTGTCATTTGAACACAGCTCAAACCCTTTCCTTGCTGCACCTGAGGAAGCGAAGGCGGTTTTCGACTCTTTGTTCTACGGATACTAACACGGGTTTCAGTGTTTGTTTGTTATTCTTGTTGTTTTATGTGATGTGAATACCCTCTCCTGTCAATATTTGTACAATGGTGCTAATATATTTGGTAACAATCCTTTATTGGGAAGGGATTTTTAAAAACTGTGATTTAAACTGAATTTTTCTTCCTTTTAATTTTCATATTTAAAACAAAGCCACAGCCATTTATACACATGGGCGTCAGCTCCGGCCCTGGGGAAACATTGGGGCGGGAATGGAGATGAAACAAATGGGGTTTTTACATCATTTCTGTATGTATTTGATATATAAATCAATATCTGTACAAATTTATCTTTTATTTTCTTGGTAACTTGTGTGGTCAATGAGAGAGTATTTAAGACTTTCTCATGCAATGTACATAAGTGGAAAAAATGCTTTTGGAGAAATTAAATGTTACTTTCATTTTTATGAGACCGCAGATTTTCAGCATGGATGTGAAAAGCATTAAAATTATAACTTTGTGTACAAGATGAAAATAATTCACTAAATTTGCCTTTTTTACACAAAATAAAAACGTTACAAGTCAGTTCTTGAATGTCGTTTCCTTGAAGGGCTGCTCCCCTGCACAGCGCTGGCTGTTCTGCAGCTCGTTCCTTCCCTGCCAGCGCAGACCCAGAGCTGTTCTTACAGCCTGCGGGTGCTGTGTGAGCGCCCAGCTGAGCAGCCTGCAGGAATAGGGAAGGCGTTTGTGTGAGCTGTGGTGTTAGGTGCAGGATTTGTGCAGTGCAGGCTTTACACCTGGCCTTGTTTTACAGCTGCTGTTAATAGCTGTGCACTGTTGCTATGGAAATTCCCAGGGGGGAGTGTTGGGTTTTCCTTCCAGTGCAGTTCTGTGCCAGGAGATGCAGCATCCCTTCCCTCCCCATTCACCCAGGTGGAGAAGCTTGTATTGAAACACAGCTCTTCCTCCTGCAAGGAAAACCGAGTGCTCCTCATACCTCACTGAGTTCAGCACAACAGGTCTGTTCTATAATGAATGCACCGTAAGCAGTTCGTTTATATCATTTATTTTTGATGGTTCTGAAAAGTTGTCAAGATAACCGCTGTGCTAATTGCTCCCAGATCGTTAGCTGGAGTGAGATGACAGTCAGAAGGCACAATTCACTGTGGAAGCTGGCATCACTCATAGATCCAGTCATGTGCACACGATCTGTAGTCGATGAGCTCCGCTGGTTTGAACCAAAGGTTGATCTCCTTCTGGGCACTTTCTACAGAGTCGCTGCCATGGATGATGTTTCTGTGGAACAGTGCATCATTTAATATAAAGAAAAAAAAACTCTACAAGTGGAAATGCCGTATGGAAAAAGTGGGGGTGAAGCACCTAAAGCTACAACCCTTGTCTCAGGTACAGCACTTGCACAGCTCCACTATAAGCTCTGCTCACTACACCCAGCAGGGTGGGGGCACAGGGCTATTCTACTGCAGCAGCCACTGTCTGATCTTACATGGAGCTCTGCCACGGAGCTGGATTTTAAGAAGTTTTGTACCCAGCCATTGTCCTAAGTGGTTGTTATAGGCTGCAACCTGCAAATAAAACCCCATCGGACCAGGTTAGCCACCAGCAGTTTGATTTCCCTGAAGAAAAGCCTAGCCCTGCTAAGTGTCATCTCTATAGAGAGGCAGCTGAGCACCAACCTTCCCACTTGGATGCAGAAATCCCCACGGATGGTGCCGGGCTTCGAGTCCGCAGGGTTGGTTTCCCCCAGCATCACTCTGCCTGTTTTAACCACATTGAGCCCTTCCCACACCTACAGGGGAGAAAAGACAGCAAACAACCATCAGCCCCTGCTTATGCAGCATGCCACACCTTGAGCAGTGACAGCTGGTCCTTGGTGAGGGCTTCACCACAAGACAGAAACCGCTTCAGGTGGGTTTCTGTGGGCCAGTGACCCTCAACACCTCTCCTTTTTTACCCCCAAACTTTAAAGGTTTTCTTGTGCAGAAAATAAGTTTTGGGGAATTTTAACACACAGGAAGCATCTCAGCAGGCACTTTGAGTGCCTGCATCTTGCGCAGGAGGAGCGCGCTGCGTACCATGGCCACCACGGGGCCGGAGTTCATGTACTTCACCAGGCCGGGGTAGAAGGGCCGATCCTTCAGGTCGATGTAATGCTGCTTGAGGAGGTCCTCAGAGGCCTGTGGGAGGACAAAGGGGCTCTGTCAGTATGTCAGCCCCCATCCCGTCCTCCGACGGGGTCGCTGCCGTAAGATTTAACCCCGTGGCTGTTCTCAGCTCTGTAACGCCACCAGCCCTGCAGCGGCTGCTGCCCTGTGGGCACCCGCGGGCCTTGAGAAAAGCAGCCGCTCTCCCCGCGGGGCGGCGGTGGGGCACAGCGGTACCGGCGCGGTGCCGGTGGCCGCCGCCGGTTCGCCCGGGCCGCTGCTGCGCTACTCGACGTCGGCCGCGCGTTCGGGAGCACGAAAGGCCGCCGGGACGGACTCGTATCCGAGGGCCCGCGGGGGCAGCGGAAAGAAAGCGCCGGGCACGGCGGCAGTTCCGGCCTCGACTTACGTGCACGAACTTCATGGCCACCAGGCGGAAGCCCTTCTGCTCGAAGCGTTTGATGATTTCTCCCACCAGCCCCCGCTGCACGCCGTCGGGCTTGATGGCGATGAAGGTGCGCTCGCAGTTGGCTGCCATGGCGCTGCGGAACACGAGCACACAGCCTCAATCTGAGCCCCCGGCTCAAGGTCGGCCCGCAGCCCCTCCGCCATTGCGCCGCACGGCCCACGTGGCGCCCGCCCCGCGCTGCCCCGCATTGCCCCGCGCTGCCCCGCTCCGCTCCCGTCCCGTCCCGCCGCCCCCGGGGCGATGCCCGCGCAGAGCCGCCCGCCCCGCTCGGATCCCCTCCCGCCGCGCCGACCCGACCCAGCGCCACGGGCACCTCCTGCAGCTCCGCAGACGCCGAAGAAAGAGGACGAGGAGGAGGAGGAGGAGGAGGAGGCGGCGGTGCGCCGGAAGCCCGCCCTGCGGGGGGGAGGGGCGGCGGGGCGGGGCGGCTCCAATGCGGCCGTGCGCGGTGATCGGCGCTGCGCATCCGCGGCCGGGGCTGCGGGCAGCGCTGCGCCCTGCGGTGAAGATGAGGGACGAAGGGCGGAGCTCGGGGATGGACGGCGCGGTAATAGCAGCGAATGCCGGGTGACAGAATGCTTTTTTTGTGGTTCCCCACAGTGAGAAGCGATGCAGGATATTTAGCCCCATCGCGTGTCGGCACGAGAGCCTGACGGCCTCACCCGCGCTTCGGTACCTAATTTGTTCCCGTTCATTAGACTCGTTAATTAATTAGCCCTAAGGCAGCGTGATGAAAATAACCCTTTATTTGACGTAAGAAACGGCAAACATTTACTTTGGAGCATCTCTTCTGCGGGGCTCAGCGCCTCCATAACCACAAAGAGATGATGTCAGTTCCAGTGTGGTTCAGTACTTGAAATAATTGAGCGCTGCGGAGTGCAAACAACTACTGACACACGAGTGCTGCTCTTAAGGAATGCTACAATGAACTGACTTATGGATAAACGAGCTGATAAATGGCATCGACACCCGTGCAGTCAGTGACTGTTTGCTGGCTGATGCTCTCCCCAGCAGGAGCAGCCGTCCCTACTGAAAGATGCTCAGCATTATTGTGAAGGATTTCTTTACACAGTTAAATAAAAAACAATTCTGGAGTCACTTCTGAAATACCTCATCCCAAAGCAGGCTGTGCTGGACCTGCAGCCATCACAGACAGAGCCATCACAGCTGTTAGCAGTTTGGGCAGCAAAGCAGACTCCATTCCATTTTTCCCCGTGTGCTTTCTGGCTGAAAGTGGATCACACTCATCCGTTCTCATATTAAATCTTCTTTTCACATAAAAAAGGGGTTTCAAAAAAGCCTGACCTATAATCCTTCCTCAAAAAGCTACATAAATCCTGTGCAGAAAAAAAAAAAAATTGAAAGCACATCAATCTGGAGAAAAGTTCTAATTTCACTGAGCTCTGCATACAAACACAGCACGTTTTGGAATGAGAAATAAAGAGGTTTCTTTTCCCGTAGCTGCTTTGGGTCTGAGCGTTCACTTGACTGGATGCCCCGTGCAGCCCCAACAGCCGCACACAGCGCAGCCCAGCAGCCCAGCAGGTGCCCCCCGCCCCCCACGGCTGCGCGCTCCTCTCTGCCTCCCTGCAGCTGCAGAGCGTTTTGTGAAGCCGTGTTCTGTACTATTAACAAGGAACGTTTTGCTTCTCTACCATTTAATTTCACCTCTACCCACATAAACGTCTGAATGTTTTTTAAAGCACATTCCTATCTACAGCTTGGTAGTTTTCTAACCAAAGCAACAGCAACCACTGATCAGTATTCACAGCCGTGCACGTGGCAGGTTTGTGAAGCAGGTTTGCAGGAGGTGATGTGGAGGATTGGAGCTAACTAGAGCACAGCCACGATACCAAAGGCAGAGCCTCAGTTCTACTCGTAGATCCATTCGTGAGCACAGCTCCTGTAGTCAACCAGTTCTTCAGGAGTGAACCACAGGTTGATCTCTGCCTCAGCACTTTCTAAAGAATCGCTCCCATGGATGATGTTCCTAGGAAAAGAGTGATATAAAAGTAATATAATCTCCAACCTCAAAGCAAAGAAAACTCCATTTTTAAGTGGTCTCCATTGCACACAGAAGTTGTACGTAATGGTAAGGCAGCAGCAGGCAGGCACAGAGCAGGCTGTGCCAGCTTTGCTCAGCGTTTCTGTCACTGTGCGGACTGCAGCTCTTTCTCCATGTCTGGATACTGCCACACTGCCCCAGGGAGGGCAGCCTGCAGCACAGCTCTGCCACACCATGACACACCACTGCCCTTTACTATCTTCAGATGATATCAATACTGTGCAGATATACCTTCCAACTTGCACACAGAGGTCGCCACGAATAGTGCCGGGCTTGGAATCCATGGGATTAGTTTCCCCCAGCATCACTCTTCCAGTCTTAATCACATTAAGACCCTCCCACACCTTAGGGAAAAAAAATGCATTAAGATGATAAAACCTTATCTGTAGACAAAGTAGAAAGAGTTAATAATGTGTTCCAGAGCAATGCAGTGCTGTCCATCACTGCACAAACCACCATCCTAACAGCAAGGCTTATTTTATCTCCAGTTTTTCTGTGGGATTCTTGGCACCCATCTGCAATGCTCATGGGAAGAGAACGACTTTAAATCTCAGGACGTGAAGCACTCTTCCAGAAAAGCTTTCTGCTCACTGAGGATCTCGACCTCCAGTTCAATTATTTCACAACTACATCATAAAGGGAAAAAATCCTTCCAATAAAATTAGACTAAAAATGCTTTCAAAGTTACTTTAACTTGAGAATAATGTCTATTCCACCATCAGCTCTTTGCTTGATTAACACATGCTATTCCATAGTGGGTTTTTCACGCAGCTTTACTGTCTCTCTAGGTCTCAGCTTTGGTACTCAATTTCCCCTTGCCCTCTTCTTCAACATACTGTTTCAATTGTGAGAAAGATTATGGAAAAACATATTTTTTTAAACTGACTTTGCAGTGCATCTTCCTGACTATGCTTTCTAACCACATTATTTAAATCTAAGTTTCTAAAATCTTTTTTAAAGGTAAACTAGTACCCAGTAGGTAACACAAGCCTCTTAGTGAGGCAACTGAACACCATGTGCAGCTAAACTTCATTTGTAAGGACTCACCATAGCTACAACAGGCCCGGAGTGCATGTAGTGCACCAGGCCGTCATAGAACGGGCGGTCCTTCAGGTCGATGTAGTGCTCCCTCAGAAGGTCCTCAGAGGCCTGCATTAAAAAACAAATAATCAAAAAAGCCCCACAGCAACAGAAAGCTTTCTGTAAGAGTATGCTGAAATCACACAGGTTAGCTGCAAAGCACACACTTTGAAATTCAGCATTTCTACTAAGTTCCTAGAAGTGCTTTTAGTAAATGTGGGTTTCAACTGTTGGCCTTAATTATACCTGAACTTCTGAAGGTCTCTATTGCCAATGCAGGTAGCTTATGTGAGCTGGCATTTGTTGAATATATCCAGAGATATCAATTGAGAATAGGGTGCACCTACAAGAATGTTCTCCTCAGACTAAGGACATCAAGTTACTAAAATTAGCGTGCTTAGCATGTCTAAAGCATTTAGCCAGAGCTGGCAACTGGAACTTCTCCAAAACACCCGAAGACTTATCAGAATTCCAGGTTTAACTCTTCTCAGCACTTCTCTTTATCATTTGCTGCTCTGTTTTCAGGTCGATATTCCTATTAAGAACACAAGGGAAGGACAGCTTACGTGTGTCAGCTTCATGGCCACCAGCTTGAAGCCCTTCTGCTCGAAGCGCCGGATGATTTCTCCCACCAGCCCCCGCTGCACGCCGTCAGGCTTGATGGCGATGAAGGTGCGCTCTGAGATGGAAGCCATGGTCCTGGCCAGGGGCAGCCACCGTCACGGGATCAGCAGCGAGCGCAGCGCCGGCCCCGGGTCCTGTGTCTGCTGCAACCATGAGACCCGAAGTTCTTACCTGGCAAGCTGTGCACATCGGCAGCGCCTGAAGGTCGATGTGCAGGACGGGCACAATGCTACAGAAGTAACTAGGCAACAGTAAGTTTGCAACATACACAACTGTGCAGTTAGCAGATGCGAAGAGCGGAAAAGCTGTAAATAAAACAAAAGCAAAGGACCACGGAGGGACTGCTGGCTGCGATTCAGGGCAAAATATCAATCCATAAACATCATTTTCATCTGTCAAGGGCTGCTCTCCGGTTTCGGCGCACAGCTCGCTACGAGCACAGCACACACACGTGCACACACACCCGCACACAGGTAAACGCGCGAGCACAGCCAGACCCCGCCCAGCCCGGGCAGGCCCCGCTCCTCATCGCGCTCCGCACCGCTCCGTCTCACCTGCTGGCAGCCCCGCACGGCTCTGGCGCTGCCGCGGCCGCCCAGCCCGGCTTAGCCCCGGGCCGCCCCCGGGCCGTGCAGCCCGCACGGTTGCCATGGCGACGGCGCGGCCTCCCGCCAGCAGGGGGCGCTCGGCGCGTCGGGTCCGCCCGCAGCCCGCCGCTCCCGCGGCCGAAAGCAGCGCGTGCCCATCCGCCGTTTGTAGCGGGGACGGGCGGGGGTCCGTCGGCTCAGCTCCGCCGGCCTTCCTGACAGCAGACGGATATTGCGCTTACGTTCTGTTGCTTCAATAGACCTTTTTTTTTAGATATTCCACACTACTGTTACAGCTCCTAACGCTGTAGTCCTCACAAAGGCAGAGCAGTATTTACAAACGGAAAAGATCCCACGAACAGGCAAACACGAAAAGGCAGCAGCAGGCGCCCGCGTACAGCGCTGCGGGAAGCCGCCAGGCGATGAAAGCGGAGGGCTGCCGCGGGGCGGGCTGTGCTGCGGCCCAGCGCTGCGTGTGGGCCCTGCCAAGCCTCGTACCCTCATTAATAGGGGTCGTCTTCGGCACTTCCGAGCTAATCCCTGGTTAGCAGCACACGTTGTTCGTTACGCAGTGCATAAAACACCACAGCGCTGTTGTTGTCTTCCATGTACCGCTGCCATGCCCCGGGCAGCCCAGCCAAGCAGAGGGTTGGTGCTGAGGGAAAGGAGACCTGCAAGTGTTCAGTCAGCGGAGTTTAAAGGAGTGAAATGCCACTACTGAGCCCCAGCCATTCACTCACCTAAAAGCAGGGCTTTTAAATAAGCCTGAGGTAACAGCGTGTGAACGGCTCCGGCCATCAGGAGGATCCGAACGCAGCTCCCAGCCTTGTTTTGTGCAGCTCTATGAAGATCTCAGCTGAAATTCTGCTTCCATACCACCCCAAATCGGGGAGCTCTCCCCTGACTTACGTTCTGTGCTCCTCGTGGCCAGCCCTCCACTGAGCTTTCTGCTATCGCCTGATTACTTCAGCCATCATCCTTCACCCGACTCTCGCTGCTGTGGTGCTTTAAGACAAAAACGGACTAGAGAATTAATTTCCTCCTCGGGGTAAAGTCCCAGCTAAGTTCTTCTCGTCCCAAACTGATCCAATAGTTAATTCTCTTCCCTGGTAAATCAAAATCAATTTACTTTCAAAGAAACTGTTATTTCTAGAGATGTGGAATAAAACTTTTATTATCCAAAACCGAATTTCTTTTTCAAGGAGTTCTTTCTCCATGAGTGTGAATTCCATTCTCCTCATGTCACTCTGTGTAAATAACCTCTGTCACCACAGACAGCCACTGCTTTCGGGGAACAAAAGCAACACCTCTGTGCTGTTTCATATGCTCCATTACTTTTCTAAACTGACGGGGCCTTCCATGTTTCTTAACCTGCTGAAAAGCAACTAGGATACAATTCCAAATCTTGTTCTATTTTCAATACATCCCTGAGTTTCCGATCTCACAGTGATTGTGTGCATAATAAAACACGATCAGAAATAGTAAGACTGCCAACAAGATACCACCTGCAGCTTGTCCCAGCTAGTTTTGCCAATGTTCGTACTTTTAAATACTTCATTTATCCGCAGTACAAAACTTCCAGGTGACCAGAAATGAAACAGGAGCACAAACAGCCCCTTCTCCCTGTGCTCCTCGGTCTGACTGCAGTGGTAGCAGCCTGCCTGCTCTGGGATGGACTCACTCCAGCTACTTGAAAATAAAGCCACATCTATCAATTTTGCTAATAGAAAGAGGATAAAAATAGTATATCCTTAGAGACCCCTTCCCTTAAAGGCTGTCAGCAGACACCTTGACCCACTTTTGCTCTCTGCCAAAAGGAGCTAATGCATTTGTGTAATTAGCCAAGTATGATGGCAACGCTGATAAAACTATACAGACAAAAGAGTCTTTGCAGCAGTTTGGTTGGTACTGTTATCCTTACAGTCATCTGCGGGTGTTTATAGCTGTCCACATCCCGCAGAAGCAATCCTGAACAGTGCAGTGAGGTCTAGGTTGGAAATGCCCCGCTATTGGATTGGCCTTCCAACCAGGTAGAGCCAAAGGGGCTACCTCTCAACTGCCTGCATCCCTCCTGCAAGGTTTATTCAGGATCACTTCAAGGAAAGAAAAAACAGAAGCATAAGGCAGTAACACCCATCCCAAAGGCTCTGAGCATCTTCCTCAATACCAACAACTGGGTAAACGTGAAACCACGGGTGATGCAAAAGGAGACACGTTTTCTCAGCCAGCTCCCCTGGGCAGGCGGTATCAGAGGGCTGCTGTCCATAGCAGCTGGCCTGCCAGCCAGCAGGGAGGAGCTGCTGTTCTTCTCTCAGTGCACGACTGCTAAAGAGAAACGCGAAACGACATCAAAGAGGTGATTTCCAAAAATGTAAATGAAAATTTCACGTGAAGAGATGCGAGCAGGGGAGCATACATCGCGTCTTTTCTCAGCTACCCCGGCTGCGGTGCGTTCAATATCAGTTTCACTTCCACGTGAAGTATCAGTGATGCGTGAGCAGAGCTCAACGAAACCCAACACGGGGACCGAAATCCGCGCCCATCCCCTGCATGCAGCGCCCCGTGCGGTGCTGTGCGGTGCTGTGCGGTGCTGTGCTGTGCTGTGCGGTGCGGTGCGGTGCTGTGCTGTGCTGTGCGGTGCGGTGCTGTGCGGTGCTGTGCGGTGCGGTGCGGTGCCAGCCGGCCCAGGAGGGCGCACAGCGCGCAGCTCTGCTGAACGGCAGCGGCAATCACTGCGGCCACCACAGCGCAGCGGCGCCCTGCATGGCACAAGATATTTATTTCCCTGAGGGAAAGCAGCCGTTTCCGCAGCGATGGATTGTGTTGTGAACACGGAGATCTCTAACGCCGTATCATCGCTTTCCAATTTACAATAAATGCCAGAAATAGCTGACAGCGTTCCCGTGAGAAAGCACGGAACTCACCACCCCAAATCCCAGGAAACCCATTTCTATCAGCAAGCGTGACCTTGCTCTCCTCTGAAGGTTCCTGCTAGCGGATGGGATTTCCGATATTAATTTATCAGAGCTCATTTAAAAAAGAAGGCCTTTTTTTCTTTCTGTCAGGAATCCGAAAACAACGAACTCAGCGTCGTTTCACTGCCGCTAAGCCCTGAAAACTGGTTTTAGCCATGTCAGTCCTCCCTAAGTGAATCACTCGACCCACTCACGCCCCGCGCCGCACGACGTGACGCCGTAACACGAACGGCCGCACCGCCGCCCCCTCGCCCCAAGCAGCAACGCGCAGCGCGCCCCGCCCCGCCCCCGGCCGCCTTCCCGCCCAGCCCCGCCCACGTGATCGCCCTCAGCCGCTCCCTGCTTCCCGCCCAGCCCCGCCCGCGTGACCTCACCGCCAGGCCCCGCCCCTGCCACGTGACGAGCGGCCCCGCCCCGGCCCGGCGCGGCGGTGAGGTCAGTGCCGCGCGCCGCCGCCGCTCTCCGCCCCCCGCCCGTCTCCGTCCCTCCCTCGGCCCGGCCGCAGCCGAGGCCCCGCCGCACGCCGCCGCCGCCCCCCGAGGCCAGGCGCTCGCCATGGAGCTGGCGGACGGCGTGGTGTACCAGGAGGACCCCGGCGGCCCCGGCCCCGCCATGATGTCGGAGCGGGTGTCGGGGCTGGCGGGCTCCATCTACCGCGAGTTCGAGCGGCTCATCGGGCGCTACGACGAGGAGGTGGTGGCCGAGCTGATGCCGCTGGTGGTGGCCGTGCTGGAGAACCTGGACTCGGTGTGCGCCCACAGCCAGGAGACCAGCGTGGAGCTGGAGCTGCTGCGGGACGACAACGAGCAGCTCCTCACGCAGTACGAGCGGGAGAAGGCGCTGCGCAAACAGGCCGAGGAGGTGCGTGGGCCGGGGGGGCCGCGGGCGGCGGCTCCGCGCTTCCTCGGCGGGGCGGCGGCGCTCAACGCCCCTCCGGCGCCCCGCGGGCCGCTCCGCCGCCACCGCCGGGCGCGGGGCCGCGGGGGGAGCCGGGGCCAGGCCGCCGCGGTCGGGGCCGTGCGGCGCTGCGGAGGGCTCCGCGCCGCCCTCCCTGCCGGTACCCGCGGCGGAGCGGCGCCGTTCGGAGCGCCGGGCCCCGCGGAGCGGCGCAGCGTTGCGGGCTGGCCGGGCGTTGGCTGCGCTGCTCGCGCGTCCCACCGTGTCGGGGCGCGTTCCCGGAACGGGGCGATGCGCTGCGAAACGCGTGGGAATAGCTGCTGTCCTGACTGCGGCTCGTCAAAGTTGGCGCATCGAAGCTGCGGCCAGCAACAGGTGGAGCGGAGCACTCGAGCTCTGGCTTCAGATGTTGCCACAAAAAAAGGGTAGAAATACCTGAGAATACTCTTGCCGTTGACTTGTGTTTTTTTGTATTTTTTGTATTTTTTTTCCTGCTCGAGCATAAAGCAATACGACAGAAGGCAGCTGTAAGGGATGGCTGCTCTCAGCCCATTGTCCCTCATTGTAGGAAATTGGATTGACAGCATTACCTGTAATAGAACAAACCATCTTACGAGTCTATTTCCAGACTTCGTGTCCCATGTTTCTCTCTGGGGTTGTTTCTCCTCTAAATGTTCCAAAAATCAAAATAATAACACTGAAGATGAAGGCAACGTTGTTGAAGACAGCTGAATTTGCAAAGCGTTGGTTGCGCTGTACAAATATGTGTATGTTATGGATTTGAGTGAAAAGTGTTGCCCTGCAAATGTGTCAGGTGTTCCCAGCCTCCTAGACCGATAAACTGTTCCTTGTCCCTGTCCAACAGCACCTTCACCTGCCTTGTGGACTATGGTCTGGAGATTGTTGCTGTGAATCCCTCATTCTGACACAGGCCGATAGAAAAGGCTTCTTTTAAAACATTGTTCTTATGAGGGTAAGAGGAAGGGAGTGATGTATGTTTTCTGAACTAATTCACAGGAAAAATCAATCAAGCTTGAAATGCAGGCAGCACTTGCCAGATTGAAAAAAGCAGGCCTTGGGC